AATGACTAAGTAATTAACATAATAATTGACCACGACAAATCCCACAAATAAAAAAATCATTAAATTCTTCGGTTTTTAAAATTTATTTTTATAATAGCGAGTGTTTTTTTAAGAGCTTGAGAACATTAAATAGTAATGACTGACAAGACATGACAGAAATATTGTGGGAATGAATTTTTTATTATTATAATCTAGTAGATAGTAGAGGTAGATATAGATGGCATTTATTTTTTAAATATGATTTCCGGCATATGTCCGCCGCGGCTACGAGTTACATAGTCTATGATTTTTGAGAAAAATCGCTTTAATTGGGAGCGGCGGTGTCCCCCCTCCGTCGAAGTAACACCAAAGTGTAGTCGACGGAGCCCCGCTATTCTGGGTGGTTTATAAAAAATAACCACAAAGGGGATGGAGGGTGCCATGTTTATACTTACTCTTATTTCCGCCAAAGTAGTTCTCAAAGCGGCTGCAGCTTGCAGAGAACCCCGCACAGCTGACCAATAAGCCGTTATTATACGCGGAAGCGTGGGGAAATACATCAAGAGCTGCAATGACACTGAACGCCCTCTCTTGATAAATACAAAATCTAACAATCTGCCGTTTTACCATTGTAGAAATTATACATTTTTAAGCACATAGGCCGTATAAACTCAATTTCGCATTTTCTGTTAATGTGCCAATATATTACTAGGTGAGCGACAATTCCGTTCCCTGAAACTCCAATTTTCTATACAAGTACAAAAATACAACGACTTGAAATATCTGTGTGAATATAATATATTTCCGAGACAGAATATCGCAGCTTTTTCAAATCATTCTATCCAGGAATGCTTGAATATTTCCTTTTCTGCCGACTTTCAAAAAGGAGACGGTACTCAATTCGACTGTATATTTTTTTTATGTGTGTTACCACATAACTTTTTACTGGGTAAACCGATTTCGATGAATCTTTTTTTATTTAAAAGCTAGTACTTCTCGTGTGGTCCCATATGAATTTGATCTAGGTTTGACCAATAGTTTTTGAGTTATTCTTAATAACTTATATTGAAGTCGGCTGTACAAAATTTTTAATTTTAAATTATTAGCTTAAAATTGTTTTGAAGTGAAACTGCCCCTTTAAAAATTAAAACTAAAAACAGTTTATGCTAAGCTAACTTTTAACTTATTAAATAACAGCCAGAATTATTTTTAAATATTATTCTAAATAATAATACAACAATTGTGCCCACGACACAACCTGTTACAAAGTATAATAATATTATTTGTAGAAATAAATCATTTTCAGAAAATACAGTTTTATTTTACTTATATAACTCGCCATTAACTTAAAGCAAATAAAATTAAATATCAACTGAGTACTATAATTAAAACCTACCATAGCTTATCAATGTAAAATATCAGTATAAAGCTTAGATAGAAGATTTGGAATAATACAGATGGCGACGTAAAATCCATTAAATATCATGCAGGTTGTTTAACGTTATTGATTTTTAGACCGTAGGTGAGAAATAACATGTTTCCATACGGGAATATAACAAATTTCTATATACAGATTGTTTCGAATTTCAAATCTAAATAGCATGCTAAATTTCAGCTTCATAGCTAAAATATTTTTCGTTATATAAACTTTCAAATCGCTCTCCTTTAAAATGTGTGTTTTGCTTTTACGGGATTATACTTATGGATCTTCGAGATGCAGGCAATCTATATTAAGTAACTCTTGCTCTTCAAGACGAAACATAGTAGAAGTGGCTAAATTGCAACTCGACAGCGGGCGTAGTATGACGGTACCTACCCAAACGGTCTCGGCAGAAAGGGAGGGCAATCTTTGCATAGGAGACCAACTTGTTACTTTTTATAGGATAGGGTGACAAACCAGCACGCAGTCCACCTGATGGTAAGTGGTTGCTGTGACCCATAGACATCCACATCTATCCTCAATAAAGAATCAAAATGCAGACGCGTTGTCACACGTGAGAACTCAGATGGAATGCCTCTTTTCCAGAAAAAAGGGTCTCCAGTTCTCTACACTCACCATACGAAACATAGCAGTGTTAAGCTGCTATTTTACGCTGGTGTTCTGTGAGAGCGTGTTCCTTCCCCGGTCAAGCCGACAAATTCGTGCTACAACTATACTACTTATATAGCTGCATCATGACTCTAAACCACGTAACATCGAATACAAAAGTCGAGTAGGTACGTATATTTGCGCTACTAGAATAGAACAGAACAGATACTTTTTTATTCGATATAGATTATAAATAATACTTACTTATTGAAAGTCATTCTATTATTTAACTACCAATGGTTCGAAGAAAAACCTCTGTCCTGGGAAGAACCAGCAAGAAACCCAGCGAGACTTTTTTTTTTAAATAACATCTTACAATCATGTACACAATTAACTACACAACAAATTAGAAATAGTATGGTAGTGATCACCTCATTCCCAGGGGTTATTGTCATTCATAAATTCCTTACTATTATAATAACCCTTTTTATACAAACTTAGTTTAATAAAGTTTTTGAACTTTGAGCAGGTCAAATTTAGTATATTTAAAAAAAAACCAGTTGTTGTAAAAGCGTATACATCGCCCCAAGAATGAATTACTGACTCGGTGGAGTCGAGTAACTAAGTATAATCTACAGTTAGTCTGTGGTGTGAACTGTGGAGTGAAACTGTGGCGGCGCTGTCGTCGCGCCACAAGCGAAACACGTCGAAGCCTAAGTCGCGCTAACAAAGTTGCGAAGTTAAAGCAGTATAATATATAGAATAGCTTCGAACTGCCACTCAGAGCGTTGGCCGCTCCCCGGGCAGAACACCGCTTACAATCATGTACGTTAGACAAATAACAACACAAAACAAATTAGAAGTAGCTTAGCTAGCGATCACCTCATTCCCAGGGTTTATTATCATCCATAAATTTCTTAATATTATAAAACCCTTTTTATACAAACTTAGTTTAATAAGTTCAAAAACCAAGTTTTTGAAATTTTAGCAGTTCAAATTTTGTATGTATATTTTTACTAGGGTGGGCCATATGAGTGTTGGCGATTTAATTCTTCAATGTCTCGGAAACGCGTGGCGCGGGGTGGTGGAGGGATATGTTGTTAGCTGCGCCGCTTCCTGCAAATTTAGTCGCCATGGAGCCGTACACGGAAGTGCAGCGTGCATTTTGTGTCCGAGCGTATTACGAAAACAATAAATCAGTGATTACTGCACGACGTTTGTATCGACATGAACACGGTTTACGCCATTTAAGTGAAGTTCCAAGCGCCAATGTGATACGGAAATGGATCAGAATGTTCGAAACAACCGGCTCGACAGTACCAATTACGGCTCGTGGTCGCCCAGTTTCTGCAAGATCAGCCGAAATTGTGGAGCGTGTTCGTGTTTCAGTTCGGCGAAATCCGCAACAGTCAACACGTAAGAGAAGTCAGTCTTTGGACATCAAAAGAACGACTTTGCGACGAATTTTGAAGCGTGATTTGCATTTGAAGGCTTGTAAGATTCAGATAGTCTAAGAATTAAAACCAGATGATGCCAATAACCGACTTAACTTTGTCAATTTGATGCTCGAGCGGTTCAACAATTTTGACAACGTGATGTTTAGTGATGAGGCCAATTTTCACCTTAATGGCCATGTGAATAAGCAAAATTGTCGATTTTGGTCCGAAACTAATCCCCGACGCTTGCATAAACGTCCACTTCACAGCCCTAAGCTTGTCGTGTGGGCTGGGATAAAGTCAACCGTTATTATTGGGCCATACTTTTTTGAGAACGAAAGAGGGCAAGCGATGACGGTTAGAGCTAACAATTATTGCAATATGATAACAGACTTTTTGGTGCCAACTTTGCAAGAACTTCAAGACTTGAGCCTCGAGGATGTGGTTTCAACAGGATGGGGCCACATGTCATACGGCTAGGGTATCCATAGAGCTGCTGAAAAATGTTTTTCCCGGAAAGCTCATTTTGAAAAGGGGGGATATAGAATGGCCACCACGTAGCCCCGATCTCTCTCCATGCGATTATTTTCTATGGGGCTACCTCAAATCGGTGGTCTACGAGAATAATCCGACCAATTTAGAGCAGCTGAAGAAGAATGTTATTCAGGAAAGTAACAAAATACTGAGAACAACTTTTCAACGAGTTTTCCAAAATTAGCGAATTCGGTTTCAAGACTGCCAAGCAGCCGAGGGAAGTCATTTGGACAACATTATTTTTAGATCTTAAAAATTCCTATGTTTCTACTTTTTAAAAATACAAATATATTTTTGTTATGTTTCGTAGTTCTTTTTTAATTGAATATTGAAACCGCCAACATCCTTATGGCCCACCCTGTATTAATGACCTTATAGTTTTTTGCACAGAATTTAATATTCTACTTTGCTACCTTTTTAATAGAAAAATATAGAAAATAATGACAAACGAGCACATAGTCCACATTAAGGTAAGTGCATACTGTGGCCCATAAATATCTACTTTTGTCCTCGATTAAAAATCAAAATGCAGATGCGTTGTCAACCGTGAGGATTAAGATCTTCATCATCTTCTTTTCCAGTAAAAAGGGTCTCCGGTTCTCTATACTCACCATACGAAATGCAGCAGCATTGGTTATATTACACTGGTATTTTACACTGGTATTCTGTGAGAGCCGCTCCTTCTCCAGTCGACATGACCCATTTAGATTACAACCATAATATTGCTGCAGCATTGCTCTACTACATACAAAACGTACCTTAGTGGTATTAGATCAAAATTATTATCAAATTATTCTCGTCTTTCCACCTATACTCTGATTTTTTTTTTTATTGAAGTGGCAAACGAGCATACTGCTCACCTGATAGTAAGTGATCACCACGGGAATTGCAGAAGCGTTGCCGGTATTTAAGAAAGGAGAAGGCTCTTATAATAAAAATCTTTAACTTTTATCGAATTTATTGCGATCACTTGAAAATGATAATCACGCGAAAAATACAACCAAATCGTTGGGACTATATATTTATTCATAAAGAAAAGCAGATGGTGTACGAACGGGTATAAGCCTGGTTTCGCCATTTACAGTATTAACAACGCGATATTCTCTTCCGTTAATTATTTTTATTTGCGATTGATCAGATATTTTGTATCTCGATTTCCCACCAAAAAGAGAGTCGTAAGGAGGCGGTCGACTGTTATCGTTATTATTTTCAATAAACCTTGATGTCTTCCTTTTCTTATTATCAGTGTAAGCTTGCTCGTTAATATTAATGCGGGTGGAACGCTTAATAAAGATCTGTAAGATAAATGATTATTAATAGGTATTTTTACTATTCGTCAATGGCAACAATATTTAAAAAAAAATCTGTTTGATGATATTCGCCTCGTGGTTTTAAACTACATCGCAATAAAATATTTATTTTCTGGGTTTCACCTCTACATTAGGCATCAGCAGAAATTCACTGCGAAGGCTAACCGCGAACTGAGCAAGCAACGAGCCGGACGAATGACGATTGTTCCGTTGTACCTATAAAGCTGGCCTAGGAGTATTGTAGGTAACTTCTTACAATACTCACGAAACGAAACGAAGTTACCTTGCTTTACAGTAAAAATTCTATGTACGTATATACCTCTCCAATAAATGAAGCAATTGCGGCAGCAAAACCAATGGCCATGATCACGTATGTCATCATTAAGTCGCTGTTGCGAAGCCGGCGATCTTTAGATTGAAGATCCAGTGGACATATCTTGGTGGAAGGCAGATCTCGGCGTTTCAGGAAGTCCACAATACCCCCTTCTAGTAGCTTCGTTATGCTTAATAGTAAACAAAATATATAGGATTATTAAATTACATTTAGGGTAAATAATAATAAAAAATATTATTGTCACAGCGGCCAGTCTAAATGGAGAATAGCCTTCAGCCCTGGGTAGGATTAAAATGCATGAGTGTGTGCGCAAATGTAGGGGCACTATCACTATATATTCCTTTACTCTCATAGTCCGATGGAACGGTAATCCAACACGACTGGAGAGAGAGAGAGAGAGAGATCAGAACGCCACAACTTCCTAACTCCAGGCTTCTACTGAAAACTTTGTTTTATGATAATAAAGGATGTCGTATGTCACATTCTATAAAAATAATAATTGAGTAAGTCATTTTATTGTATAAAAAATCTTGTCTATACAAAACACATCTTAATCTTGAGGGTCTTGCAGCTCTACTGCTGAATGCGAGCCACTTCCGTAAGGAAGACATGCCATAACCTAAAATCTTTCAATGACAACAACAGCGTTATAGCGTCAAAGCATGTTTATGTACCTACACGAATCACGTATGTATAAATATCGAAAACCGACAATTTAGGGTTTTGTTAAGTTTTAATTTCAGCTAATATCCAAACCCCGGTCGTCAAAATTACTTACACGATATCAAATATAGCGTTTAATGTTGTATTCTTGGGATATGCGAATGCCCTTTGCTTCTTCATAAAGAATTGAGGTGCGGCAACGTAGATACATCTGTCTGCTTCGGCGATGCCTTCCCTTGTTTTCCTTAAGTAATCATCGTACATCAAATGGTCAATCGCGGTCTGCTCCTTTACCAAGACTGCTCCACGTTGCACGATGGGAAGGAAATCTTCATTGTCCTTTACTGCATGGAACTGAGCTCGTCCGTTTGCGACCATTTTGTTAAGGTAAAATAGATCTTCGTCAGGCTGTTGCAAAATTTAAATTTAGAATTGCAACAAAGACATATTTAGCAGAATCGCTTAATGTAATATACACCCGATTGCAGCTACATTAGTAGTATAGTTGTAGCACGAATGGGTCGGCTCAACCGGGGAAGGACCACGCTCTCACAGAATACCAGCTTAAAATAGCAGCTTAACGCTGCTGTGTTTCGTATGGTGAGTGTAGAGAACGTGAGACCCGTTTTACTTGAAATGAGGCATTCCATCTTATTTCTCCCGGTGACAGCGCATCTACATTTTGATTCATAGTCGACGATAGATGTAGATGTCTATTGGCCACAGCAACCACTTACCAACTTACCATCAGGTGGACTGTGTGCTCGTTTGTAACACTTATCCTATATTATAAATCCCGACTCTGAGGTCTTGAATTCCATCCTCAGCCGTGGAAAATTCAAGAAACAGCTTGGAGGAGCCCGCAGGACGCAAGCTCTAGAATATGAGGTTGGTAATAAATAATAAGTATAATATATAATATAAAGGTAATAAATACTTATACTGTTTATACTGTTAGCCATACCATCAGGCTACTGTCGCCTCAGTATACGACTTTAATAATTGTAGAAAATATGTACGAGTATATTATATGGGCTTGCGTTTCAACATTTCGGTGCCTCTGTCAGACTCACAGCTATGATGTGCGTTTAGAATAAAGTCGTAACGGATTATAATTACAGGTAAACAGGCACTTGTAACCTGTATTTTGGAGTCAGTCTGGATTAGTACCCGCTGCTGTATTCAGACTTGGAGGGAAATTAAAACACCGGACTAGTGCGAGTAGGACTCGCACCCCGAGGGTTCCGTATAAGCTTAATTATGTATGTCTGACACTGTAGAGCCATGCTACATTATGGTTGTAGCACGAATGGGTCGGCTTTATCGGGGAACCCCCGCGCTCTCACAGAATGCCAGAGTGAAATAACAGCTTAATGCTGCTGTGTTTCGTACGGAGACCCTTCTTAATGGAAATGAGGCATTCCATCTTACTCCTTAGATCCTTAATTCTTAATCGAGGATCGATGTAGGTGTCTATGTGCCACAGTACCACAGCATCTACTTCCATCAGGTGGACTGTGCACTTGTTTGTCACCCTTATACTATTACCCCATGTTATATAAAAAAGACGATGAAGTGTATGAGTCTGATCGACAGTGCATTCACGCGTGATATTGCAAGTGTGGATATGCGAAACTCTCCCATAACGGCTTAACGTATTGCGATTGCCCCCATCGCATCGCTTACATGCCGCTGGGTAGCACGCAAGCTATTCGTTATTCTAAAGGCTGATCAGCGGGTCTCTATAGACTGTAGATTCGTTTACGCACACTTTATGAGAGCAATAAGAAAAATAAAACAGCCTTTAATACTACAAATTGGATAGTATCAGCAAATTGGTAGAGCAATGCTGCAACTATATTAATAGTATAGTTGTAGCACGAATGGGTCGGCTCGACCGGAGAAGGACCACGCTCTTACAGAATACCATCGTAAAATGGCAACTTGATGGTGTTGTGTTTCGTATGGTGAGTGTAGAGAACCGGAGACCCTTTTTACTGGAAAAGAGGCAACGACAACGCATCTGCATTTTAATTCGCAAACGAAGATAGATGTAGATATCTATGGGCCACAGCAACCACTTACCAACAGATGGATTGTGAGCTCGTTTGTCACCCTTATTATATTTACAAAAGCTAGAAACAGTTGAAAAGTTACTTTAGGATTGTTTGTTTGGTGTACGAAAATCCAAAGTAAGATTGAGAGAGATGAGTTTTTTGTCGGGATATTGGTTCATCTTTTAAGGCTTTTAATTCTTCGCACTTATATATTACCCATGTGTCATGCCGTGTTGTAGCAGCATAATATAATCTACTAAAGCACGGTCGCGGAACAAGTTTTTTTTATTGCTTTGCATTTTTAAACTTAATTCCCACCATAAAAAGTTTTACTTCTATTGCAACTAAGATAGCTTTAGGACCTTTTGAACAGTATTTGTGATTCGAAAACCAAGTTTATTGTCAATTTGTTAAAATTCACATTTGTATGAATTGCAATAATTTGAAATACTTCCTGCTCCGCGATCACGTCATACTAAATATTACCCTAGACGTGACAGCATATTCCTGATAACAATTTAAATTTAAACTGATCGGCAAATCGCCAGTCAAGCGTGGCAACTATGGCAAATATCCCCCTCTAAAGCATTCTATGGAGGAATCCTACGTTCAGCAGTGAACTTTGAAAAGCTGTAATTATGATGATGATTTATAAATAAATAATTTTTTAAATAAATGCCGAGAAAAAAGCATAAATTACGTTTCTGATCGTGTATTGCACGGCTCCTCCTTCCGCTGCAACCCATCTATAGTTCTTCTTTAATAGATCTTTTGGACTATCTATATCCAACGTGAACTTTGACAGAGTGAGGAAAGCAGTCAGATTTGCTGTGTAGAACGCAGAGAGCAGAGTTATGAAAATCCACCAAGTTGCAAACAGCACTCGAGTTGTGTCTAAAATTAAAAATCAGAATTAAATATACATAAATAAAATTGCAGTGTCTGTCTGTGATATCGATATAATTTTAATGCAATCAAGACATGGATAACCATTTTTAAAATTTTTGCCTGTCTCAACGGCAAAACTTTTAACTTTAATCAACTAATTATTTTTGCTTTAATTAAATGCACGCATTTAAATATGCGATCCTTTATTTTATAAACATATTTAAAAAAATTCAGGTTTGACATATCTAACAGTTAAAGGAAAAAATATACCATTATTTTTGTGCATCAATAAAAAAATACTTTTTTTAAACGAGTTAAAAAAATAAGAAGGTTATGTTTTATAATTTAGGATTTAACTTTTTCTCTAACTTTATAGGGGAACAACCCAAAAGTATAACATAACCTTCTCATTTTTTAAACTCGTTGAAAAAGAAGCTTTTTTTTGATGCACGAAAAAATAATGGTACATTATTTCTTTTAACTGTTGTGTTAAGATTGTTTTTAATAATATGTTCTGTTGGCTGAATGTCTTACATTTTATCGTATTAAGTCTTAAAAGCTTGATATGAAAGCATGTCTTCGGCAAGAGAAACTCCGTTCACCTTAGACCACCGTAACCTGATTTTTTTACATAAATCCGGCGAGCTGGACAAATATCAGCTAACGTATCTGGTCCCCTGTGCTCATTGGGACTTGGTGAAAGGATTTGCCTCATGGTAGGTCGTGCTAATTTTACAAACCGTACTATTCAAATTGTAAACGAATTTCTTAATGATTTCTTATGCTTACGCGAACACTACACATTTAAATAAAACTAAGTTGTACGGATTTTGTCGTATATATTAACTTATTTAAAATTTACGAAACGTTTACGTTTACGTCACGGGGCGGGACTGAGGTGTTTCAGGGAGCACAAGGGATCTCTGACAATAAACACATGGCCGCCGAGGTAACGTACACGACAACAAGCTTCGGGTCCCCCGCCTACGTCACATTAAGCTGTTGAAGCCGGCCACGGCCACAGTCCAGCGTGTGGCTGCTGTTCTACCATATTCAGAGATGTCACTGACAATATTGGCTACAACTTAAAACGAGCTTCCATTAGGACATACTTCAGGCCGCCGAAGAAGTTAAGTCAGTTTTTACCATAAGTCAAGTGTAATAATCCTTACAGTATAGAATAGAATAGAATGATTTTTTATTCAATATAGATTATTACATAATACTTATTGAAAGTAATTTTAATTTACCACTGGTTAGGAAAATACCTCTGTCCTGGGAAAAACCAGCAAGGAACCCAGCGGGACTTTTTTACCTAACAATAATTATTATTTATACAATTTTTAAATGATTTTTCATAGAACCAGCAGGGTGGTGATCACGTTATTCCCAGGGGTTATTTTCATTCCTATATTCCTTGATATTATAATAACTCTTTTTGTACAGTTTTTCTTTAATAAAACTTTTAAACTTGTTTATTGACAAACTTTGAACATGTTCAGGGATTTTGTTGTAAAAGCGTATATACATTGCTGCATAAGTGAATTAGTGATTCTGTGGAGTCTAGTAGCTGGTATTACAAGCTTATGTTTGTTCCTAGTGTTTAAGGTATGAACATCCTTATTCTTATAAAAGCTATTTATGTTTTATGTACATATACATTACATTTTCATAAATAGATTGCGATGCCAAAGTTAATATGTTTATTTCTTAAAATTTTTCTCCGAGGGACTCTTTACAACTTAGGTTATAAATCGCCCGTACGGCTCTTTTGAAAAACAAATATAGCTTCAATATCAGTCGCATTACCCCATAGCTAAATTCCATAAGGCATTACGCTATGAAAGTAACTAAAATACACTAATGTAGCTGTCTCAACATCTGTGAGACTTCTAATCTTTCTTACAGCATATGCTGCAGAACTAAGTCTGCTTACTAATTTAGATATATGGGGCCCCGTTGAAGTTTCGCGTCAATAGTAATACCAAGAAAAACAGTGGTATCCACAAGACTCAATAGGTCAAGTATAAATAAGCAAGTGCTTATAAATATTCTAAGGTAATATCCCTGTACAAGATGCTGGAGTGTTGTGAATGTGGTCTCTTATTCTACATAGGATAAACTAAAAGATCAATTAAAATTCGCGTAAAAGAATACATAGCTGATGTAAAGAATTGACACTCCGGGAAGTCGGCAGTATGTGAACAGGTATAGGATCCGTTACTACATCAGATTTGATAGAACACACGAGGCTATTAATCAAAAACCATCCTAATTTCAATAGAGACAATGGATAGGTGCTACCAAACCTTTTTAACAGTGGTAGAGACACGCGGCAGCTTTTGCTGTTGCACGGATGGGCCAGCTCGACCCGAGGTGGTACCACGACCTCACTTCTGTGTTTAGTTTACTTCCCAATCTCCCCCCCCCCCTCCCACCACGATTTTACCATACCATGATTTTAACGCCTACCACGCTGAATGGTTTGGTTCCCGTTTAAGCTTCTTTCTCCCGTTTAACATTTAATCATGCGGGTAGATCTGTTTATAACTTTGCCTTGGCATATGGTCTGACACAACTGGTTATTTCGTCTACGCGGATTCCAGATGTGGACGATCATGCACCTTCCCTGTTAGACCTTCTGCTGACCTCTCATCCGGACGGATCTCCTTGTTCTCCAAAATAATGGAAACGATTATAAGCTGCCAGCTCATGAGGTACCTTGAGGATCACGAGCTGATTAGTGACCACCAGTACGGTTTCCGTCGGGGTCGCTCAGCTGGTGATCTTCTGTGTTACCTAATTCATCGATGGGCGGAGGCAGTAGATTCCAAGGGGGGGGGGGGGGCATTGGTCGTTAGTTTTCACATAGCGAAGGCCTTCGATCGGGTTTCGCACAAAGCGCTTCTTTCGAAGCTCTCTTCCTTCATTCCCGAGCTTCCCGAGAAATTGTACAATTAGATCACCAGTTTTCTTGCAGATCGGAGTATCAAGGTCGTAGTAGACGGTGCATTGTTTTTTTTTATTGAATAAAGGTGACAAACGTGCACACAGTCCACCTGTTGGTTGCTGTGGCCCATAGATATCTACATCTATTTTCGTTTGCGAATGTTGTCAGCCGTGAGGACTAAGATAGAATTAATCTTTTCTAGTAAAAAGTGTCTCCGGTTCTCTACAATCACCGAAATACAGCAGCATTAATTTGCTATTTTACGCTGGTATTCTGTGAGAGCGTGGTCCTTTCCCGGTCGAGCCGACCTATTCGTCCTACAACTATACTATTAATATAGCTGCAGCATGGCTCTACCACGTATAATATATGCTCCGATTACAAGCCTATTAACGCTGGTGTTCCACAAAGTTGCGTGCCATTAGAAACGCTGTTTCTTCTGCCTATTAATGATATATTGCAAACCGGTAACATTCATTGCTATGCGGACGACATTACTGGTGATGCTTTATACACCAGCCGTGTCAATATTTCTCCAATATGCTCCAAAGAAGAGCTCAGAGGTATTTTCCTGAAATTCTGTTTACACAAGAAAAACTTTTTATGCATCTCATTAAGACCGTGGACAATATTCCTCAACAGGATATTGACAACATCATTCTGAGTATGCCCAAACGATGCAGATAGGTAATGAATGTTATGGGTGATTTTACTGATTATTAACTCTTAATTAATAGTCGCCATTAGTTTATAAAAGGTTTTTACTTTAGTTTATTTTTTTAAATTATAAATTAAACTTCCACGATGTAGTTTTCACACTTGCTTTTTTTTCTCATTTAAATGTTAATGTTTATATTAAAAAAATGGTAGATTATTAAATAAAGTTTTCTTGGGTAGGTATATGTGTTGGTTAAATATTCCTATACCGTGTTGATGTGCTTATGTCAAGGTCACGTTTAATAACCAGAAATAATAATACATTGAACATCAACTAAAGGCTGTCAATTATGGGGACAATTTACAAAATGTTTTTTTAAAAACAATCTTTACCAGCGTAAAACATGGTAAAGGCGTGAATGCATGGTGATTATCGACAGTCGTCATTTAGACATGACATTCAAAAACGATAATGACATATCGTTAAAGATTTTCAATATGTACATAAATAATTAGTCCAGTCAAATAAGATCTGAAATCAAAATTTGACACTCAACTTTGTATTTTTGATAATATAATGTAGTTTTAATGATACAAAAACAATGTGTAAAGGTTTTCGTGTCTGCAATCCAAGGTAAGGGTTAAAGAAAATTTCCAAGTGTTTTTTCGCAATTATTCGAAAACGGTAAAAATTAGACAAAAAGAAGAACTTAAAATTTTACATAAAAAAGGTTTTATGATATTTTCCCTCCGGTCAAAATTAACCGAGTTAGGGAGGTTTTAAGTTTAATTGATTTTTTTTTATATAGGATAAGGGTGACAAACGTGCAACAGTCCATCTGATGGTAAGTGGTTCCTACGGCCCATATACATCTAAATCTATCCTCGATTACGAATCACAATGCAGATTCGTTGTCACCCGTGAGGACTAAGATGGAATGCCTCGTTTCCAGTAAAAAGGGTCTCCGGTTCTCTACCACACGAAACACCGCAGCGTTAAGCTGCTATATTACGCTGATATTCTGTTGAGGGCGTGGTCCGTCCCCGGTCGAGTCGACCCATTCCTGCTACAACTATACTACTAATATAGCTGCAGCATGGCTCTACCAGTTCTACCACGTAAATTTTACGTTTTTATACTTGTATAAATTCACACCTGCCGAAATATACCAGGTAACTTTTTTTTCAGGAATCTAAATATGGCAAAAATCAAATAATTTATTAATTTTTAATAATTCAAATTTCAAATGGAAAATTTGATATTGTTATATTTTTTGAACAATAAAAAATGTGTATCTCAAAAATTAAAGATTAGATTTTTTTAAGCAAATTCAAAAAAATTATTCGCTTATTTTTCTACTAGCTACGATTTTTAAAAATTTACGTTCATCCCTTAAACTTAAAATCATAAAACCTTTTTTATGTAAATTTTTAAGCTCTACACATTTTTGTCAGAACTTTTTTGGCAAATTTTTACCGTTTTCGAGTAATTGCGGACAACACTTTTGACATTTTTTGTCAACCCTTGTCTTGCATCCTGTAGAAAACCGAAAGACTGGTTGCGTCTGTGTTCGAGGCAGGTAAGATTGGTTTTAACCAAATTCGTGGTGAGGTAATTTAGGTGGAATGTTGTTGCTACTGTCCAGACGTGAATTGTAGGCAAAGAGAGACGCGAACTAGTCCGCTTTCTCCTTAGCCGTATGCGCCAGTGTGCCATCCAGTTTTACCAGCGGAGGCAGTGTAGGCCGACAGAAGTTTGTTTCGACCGCTTTGGCGAGAGACCAAAAAGCTCTAGTGTCGGATGGTCTGACAGAGAGTTTTGCGCCAATATGTTTAATGCGATCGAGACTAGCTTTCCGTAATGCTTTTTTGTAGGACTTGGCCGTCTGGTTGAAAGTTCTCTTCTTGGAGCTAATATCCGGAGCTTTGCGGTTTTGAGCGTCAACCCAGGATAGGTACGCTAAATGCTTGCGCTTTTCAGCTTGGGCGCATTCAGCGTTATACCATGGGCGAGCTTTGCTACCGGTGGGAGCGTCAGAGAAGGGGATAAAATACTCCACCGCTTGACGCAACACATCCGTTATCGCAACCAGATCCGCAGAAGAGAAACAGACCTAGGATGAGATGCAAAAAAGTGACGCATCTCATCCCAATCAGCTGACTTATACCGCCTTATTTGTCGAATACCTTAGGACTCGTAATCAGGTGGAGAATATGATGATACAGATTTCACCAGACAGTGGTCAGATGTGCCCAAAGGGGAGGTAACCTGTACTTCACACATATCTGGTTTGGTAGTCAGCAGAAGGTCCAAGTAATTTGCTGTGTGACAGTCTACATCGGGTACCCTAGTCGCTTCCTTTACCAGCTGAGAAAGACCTATCTTCAAAGCAAAATTCCACGCTTCTTTTCCAGCATGGTCGGTCTTCTCGTATGGGAACAGCCAGTCTTGGTTCCAAGCGTTAAAATCCCCCAGAAAGACCAACTGTGCAGTAGGATACCGATTTAGGGCTACGTCAGCAGCCTCACTAACGTAATCAAATAATCGTGTTGTCGCCTGGTCCATATACTTGGTCCCATAAACTTGGTGTCTCCAATGCTATGTAAGTACATAAGAAAAAGTCCTCACATTGAAAATAATGTTACTGGTAAGTGGTTGCTGTGGCACATAGACTATCCTCTATCCTATCTACATCTATCCTCGATTACGTATCAAAGTGTAGATGCGTTGTCACCAGTGAGGACTGAGATGAAATGCCTCGTTTCCAGTAAAAAGGGTCTCCGGTTCTCTACACTCACCATACGAAACACAGCAGCATTAGGCTCCTATTTTACGCTGGTATGCTGTGTATGTATTTTTAATAAAAAAAATATACATAAAGACTTTGTTTTAATTAAGCACAATAATGTACATACATAAACCTATTTAGGTTTGACCTTATACCTACGTAAATATAGTATCTCTACAATTTAATCCTCATCTTAAGATAAGTCTATCTTATTCTATCAGAAAGATCTTTGGCCTTTGGGCTCACCAGATAAAAAAGCGTAATGAGAATTTACAAAAATACAAGAGTGAGTACAGAGATTATATAGATCACTATGTTAATTGAATAATACCATATAATACTGCTGATAAAATATAAACAAATATGAGAACTTGTGCATTTGCAGCGCAAATAATTTTTGACGAATATAATTTATATTTTTCAATACTATTACTATCTATAGCATACTAGCTGGCCAGGCAGACGTTCTGCCCTTTCCAACGACCCTTCCTATAAAAATCCCTAATTTCGCAATAAAAATTTTGAGGGTCATTTATTGAGATAAGAACTATCCTATCTCTCAAGTTGGACCAAAATGCACACAGTGTGCAAAATTTCATTGAAATAAGTTCAGTAGTTTAGGAGTCCATCGCGGACAAACAACGTGACACGTAATTTTTATATATAAAGATTGTAAAACCAACAATCATTATTGGCGACTGTCAGTTAGGTGTGTTTATGTGTTTACACACTGGTTAAAAGATCAATACTCTATTGGATTAGACTGTATCAAAACAATTTCCAAATAATAAAAATACAACAGTAAATAGTTTGGAAAACCCAAAAGTGCACGCCTCATGAGCGTTTCGTTTAATTCTATAGTATAATATATACAGTAATCTATGCGTTTAATTTTCATGAAAAAAATATTATAGAGACGATAATTTAAACACGATAGGATAAGGACAGGGAAATGTGGAAAAATCTGAAGGAGGCCTATACTCGTAGAGAGGTCCTTAACAATAATTAGATAAATAAAAACTCATTAAATATGTGTCAAAAAGTGGATAGTAGTTATTGATTGTAACGATAATTTTATCTTATTTAAATGTATTTTCTTTCATGATCTGATTATGTTATAATTTTGTTTCTAATTTTAAATTATTTAATGAAATTAATAATTAATTAAATGTATTTTAATAATTTTGTTAAGGAAATAAATAGCTTTATTATAATAATATAATAATTTAAATACAAGAAAAAAAAAGAATCTGATCGACTTTCATTATAATAACTTTTAAACGGTGTTCAATAACAAAAATCAATAGGGGTCCTCCATAGAATACATGGAATATTATTTAATATTATATGTATATCTTAATATATTGCTTACATTTCTAACTCGCCGACGGCAGTGCATATATTTTTTCAATTACATTTTTTATTATGTAATCTAAACAAAATCAATTACAAAACAAACTATTCTTTGACAGTCTATGACAGTTTTATCTAGCATCTTTACTGGATTCTTCATTGTATTGTAAAAAAATATTGTAGACTACTATAGTTTTATTAAAGCTGACTATGACGCGTGGCTGTTAGTAACGGTTAGTTAGATGAGGATAAGGAAGTTAGGAAGGTAATACAAGATATCTCTATTACCAAGTTTAAATATTTAATTAAACAAAAACTGTATAAAAAGTGTTATTATAATATAAATTAATACATGGTTGATAATAACCCCTAGGAACTTCCAAGCTGTTTCTAAAATAAACTTTGTAAATAGTTTATAACCATTTACTTATATTGGAAAATGTATTAAAAAAAGTTCCGCTGGGTTTCTTGCTGGTTCTTCCCAGGACTGAGTTTTTTTTTTCAGAACCAGTGGTAAAGTAAACAAATGACTTTCAATAAGAATTAATTGTAATCAATATTGAATAAAAATTATTCTATTCTATTCTATTCTATTCTAAAAGTCAAAAAAATCTTTAAAAAACATTAATTTGAGCATACTATTTGTTTTAAGCTTTAATATACACACGTACTTACTCTAAATAATATTTTACTATACATGTACTTACTAGCTTCTGGAGCTAAATCAGTTCCTTGCTTGATGAAGGAACCGTACACAAACCAGACGCTCGGGGACAGTTCGATGGGTCCCTCCTTATCACGCACTAACTTAGAGCGCAAACGTGTCAGCAACGTTATACATGGCCCGTAGAGAATTACTGATACTACAATGAGGCACCTGAGGAAAATTAGGGTCTTTAATAGAAATATAATTTTATAGATACAGTGGTAGCCTCGTACATGTACCGAACAGAGCGGCGACCACAGAGACCTTCTACTGAATGAAGTAACAACCTGATAAACCATGCAGGGAGTTGATGCAAGTGGCTTTGTTGTGGCTAAGGAAAGTCTTCACCTTCAGCAGTTGACTTGTAAAGGGATGTAATGTGTAGATAGACTGAATTTTACGTTGAACATTTGTAGATAACATGGTACAGTTATACCTGTAATTGGTATACACTCTGGAACAGAATAATATCTACCACCAGCTGAGTTGAGCTCTATAAAGTTCAGCGTAACCTATAAAGATATACAAAAAATTCAAATTATATGTATTAATTTAGTTGCTGAAATGAATTCTTGATGGTCTGATACAAAAAAAGAATTATTATATGTGCTTATGAAATAAGGAAAAAAAATGTGGAAAGAAAGTGATTTTATATAAAAGGGTAGATATTCTTTTAGGTTTAAAGATCTATTTAATGTCGAATGATTAGATTTTTTGATTCCCAACTCAAGATGCGAAAAAAAAAGACACTGGACTTGGTTCCTGCGAAACACAGTATCCTTTTTTGTGTGGAGGGAACGTCATAAGAGGAAGAGAATCAATACACCAGCAAATTTCGTCCTGTAGCGCTATGGACCTCGCAGTAAATTATTTTGTTAAAAAAAAATCGATTTACTCACCACACGTATACATCAAATGGCGCCATTACTCCCGACCCGGCGGCGGACTCTTTCGGGCGCTTCAGCATCATCATCCACGCGCCTTCGTCCAAATCGTTGGAGAACGTCACCATCTTGTTAAACTTTACCAGTTTCGGCAAAAATGCCGCGACCATGTCTACTTTCTAATAACCAATTGAATAAAGTAAGTATTTACTGTCACAGTTAGGTACTAATTATGCGAGTTATAACGAATCTTATCCGTTCATAAAATACGTTTACACCTATGGGCCCCCCATATGAAGGGGGGTGGTCGTTGTGAAGAGATGTGACATGGGGGGTCAGGGTTTCTAAGAAAACGTGACGTTCGCAGACTTAATCCACTTAATCACTTCATCCTAATTAATCACTTCATCCAAATTTGCAAAATAATTTTGCAAATTTGGATGAAGTGAATGGTAATTTAGATAATCAAGAAGAAGAAGATATTGCAATGCCAGTTATAGATATTTCAAAACATTTGAAAAATCCTTGGACTTCTAATAAATAACAGAAATATTTACTTGTTCGTTATTACAGATTTTTATTAATTTATTAAAACTTTATTATTGCAAGCAATAAATATTTAAATATACCTATCGAAATTTGTGTACTGTTATTAATTATATCCAGTACAAAGGGGGGGGGTCTATAATTCGTGACGTAATATTGATAGGGGGCTCGCAGAAATGTGACATAGCGTGATGAAGGGGGGGAGGGAGTCTAAAAAGGTAAAATTTTACGTGACGTGTTTTATGAACGGTCCCTAGATTTGACAATTGGTATCTTCTCAGACTAACCAGTTTGAACATACATAGATATGCACAAAACAAACCTCAACTACACACCACATACAATAGTTAAAAAAAATTACAGCACATATACGTTACGTCCTACTCCTGGCTTACTCCAAGGAAGCAAGGAAGTGTCCGCCGCGCCAAATCGTGTTGCGGCAGCTCGGATGCTGTCTTCAATATATATTTTTTTAAATTTCGCAGACATATGGATTTACTTACGTTGTTTTTTTCACCGCCGAGCATGTAGTAAATCAACACTTAAAATTGCAATTAACAATTTCATTGGTGTCGGCGGGAATCTAACACGGGTTGCTCGGCTACTGGCAAATTTCCCCTGAGTTATTACGGCTCTCCACAGACCACATTCAAATCTCCCAAAAATAAAAAATAAATAAAACAATCCTATCTCTCGCAGATTGTAGCTACGGAAGAATCTCCATCAGTAGTTTTTTCCGATATGAATAAACTTTATAAAAGCTTTCGATTTGGTAGAACGTTGAACCACTCTACGTATTTTAAGCAGTGACAGTGTTTGTAGTTTGTATGGAGCATGGAGCATAAACATTAACTAATAACTAATAACTATAGACAGGTATGTTATAAAATGCACTGTGGTGTTTTCTGTTCGTTTAAAAGGAATATTTAGACTAATTGGGTTGCGTTTGGAAAATCGTGTTCAACCTCAGCATACGAAATCGATTCGTTGGTCTACATTACTTGGTATCAGGAAGGTCGAAGTTAGCTATAGAAAGAGGTGCGCTTGGAGTTTCTCATTGTGATAGAATTCGTAATAAAAATTTCTTCGTAATGGAACCAAATGGTACGAGATATTTCTAGAATTCAGTAATCTTATGACAACCGACCTTTGTTCCACATTTAACCTGGAAACGGGGCTAATTTTGTGCTTGGACTGCTCATCTGGTTAAAACAACCTTCTTACCTATATCTGCCGCTATGCAACAATGCATACAAACTAGAAACTATGTGGCATTTCATCTGGGTTCTTAGAGGTAGGTAACAACGAAACTGTGTTCGTCTTTGCTTGAAATAGGAGGACGGTGAGTCGGAAGTGTTCTCGAAACGTCGTGATAGCTCTTTTAGAGTGCTGGGGCAACAACTACTACCCCCGGGACATGCTTCGAAAGAAGCAAAGCGAAAGAGGGGCCTTATTTGATTTCCGAACGTAGATCTCGGGGCGTATCCACGTATACTTGGGTATACGCTAATGGTGGCCACAGTGTGGTTTTAGTTGGTCGAAGTCTGCACCTTTCCGTCAGGCCTCCAAGCCGAAGGTGTCTTTTGGGCTGTAGTAGCCCAAAGACATCTTTTTGTTATACAATCTAGTGGGCTATTATCATTATATTTTTATTTATATTATTTAAAAAAAATGGATGTTTAATCACGTTTAATATTTTTGCTGGTTTTATCGTTATATATTCAATAACAACTGAAAAGGTGAACTCACACTACTGTTTGCAAGACTGATTAGAGAACTCTCAGGCTTCCCGAAACCGATTTCAAAGTTATTCTCTGGCACGACGACATCAAATGTAAAGTTGAATTTCTGCCGCAAAATTTCCACAATGATAAACGCAATACCGTGTCCTGTGATAGTTCCATTACTTTCTTTTTTCACCCAACTAAGCGGATAATTCTAAAATAAATTATTAATGACAATAAATTAATCTTCATATTTTTTAGCAGCCCATTACTGAAGAGTTCCACTGTAAGAAAGATTTGCCAAAATTGATACACCTGGCAGACGGATTGTAGATAGCAGTACCAAATGTTTGATACTGCGCCTTGTCATTGGCCTGGGTATATGAACTACAGTTTTCCTGACATTTCCTATAGTTACCTACTACTTACAGCATCCACGAGACAATTATTCGGGTGGGGGATTCCCTTACGCTGCCACTATACGGGGTATAGGTATGTAATATACAAATTGGTTTTCATAAGGTTTTTTTTTATTCATAGATTGTCGCTGATGCGATTATGCCGCCCTGGTAGTTACAAAAAAATCTTAAATATAATAACTACTAACAAATATACTTATTATACTTACTAGTTACTTAATCTCTTATTAACTAACAAATACAGTTTTTTAGCATCAACTGATAACGGGTCCGATAAAATACTATTAGTACTACCAATTAAGGATAAATGTAAATTACAATTAGCTCTTTCTCTTGAGTTCTGGGCTTTCATGAGGTTGCAACTTACTTTAAAATAATTGGAGAAGATCGAAACAGTACACTAGCGACGGAAAGCAACGTCAAAGGTATGAAACGTATGGTATTGTGATCGTCAATCCGTCTGACGAGCGTGACGGTTAAGGTTATTTAAAAAGAGAAGAAGAAGATACTTCACTTTTGATTAAGACTCAGTTTGATATACTGGTTCTATGCTTTGTAATTCTATGTATCCGTGGTTCGATCCTCTTTAAAACAGGAGACGTCCATTGCCAGCGCTGGACTTTAATGTACTCAATAAGAAAAAGAGCAGTTACGTACATACACATAAGTAGTCCGCGGTTAGACAGAGGCCTTTTCAAAAATACTTCGAAAAACCTGCTTTTGAGCGTCTCTTTCGAGCTTATTCTTCAGACCACACTAAGTTGGCATATTAGTGAGCGCAAAACTAAAAGATGCCCCGAGCTAGTGATGCTGCTGTCTATCACCAGTCAACGAGTACGTATTAATCGGCATTTAATATGGATTTTCTCCCATCAGTCACATCATAGACTCGTCAATTAATTCATCATCATGGCGCACCCCGAGCAGATTAGGATATTTACCCTATATATTTAATATGGCTTATTATCAAAATGTGTTTTGTTTATAGTAGGTATTTCAGACAAAACTTTGTTATACAATGCGTATGTATAAATACTCAATCCTCAGGTGAGGTCAGAGACCATAATAACCATATATACAACTACGTGTACGTGTTTATTTATTTGCATAGGTCCCTACAATTAGATCGAAGATAAAGTATGAAATGATATTACGAGTATTACGTGACGTTATTACTGCTTAGTTTACATAGAGTAATTACAAAAATATTCACGTTTTTTAATAAGAAATATTATGGAATAAAACTAATTTTACGGATTTTATCGCGTTTAATTTTAACTTTTTTGGTGGGTTGGTTTAACTTGAATGGGGGGGGGGGGGGACTGAGTGACTGACGCCCCGATGTCATAGTTAACGAAGGCTAACTTCAACTTTTAGTTATTAATTTTGGTTCGATCTACGCAGAATGAGCTTACAGTATCTTGAAGTATTGCAGTAGTATGCTTGGGTTTGGATTAAATGTTATTAATTATGGGATCCCCAGCAGATGGTAGCACGCAGCCATCTTCTCTATTGAAACTGGGATGTTTTTTTTAATTTGAATAGCCTCGTAAATCAGGGATCGGTGTTCTTTTGCAAGTATTTGTGTTTTATCAAACCTGATATTATAATGGTTGGAACGATCCACTTCGAAGTGTCAAATGAGTACGAAATCCATCTGATGGTAAGTGGATAGATACTACAGATACGTTATCACCCCTGAGTCCTAAAACGGAATGCCTGAATACCATTAAGAAGGTTATTTAGTTCTTGACACTCACCATACGAAACACAACAGTATAATGCTGCTATTTTACGCCGGTTTTTTAAAGAATTAGAATGCCTCATTTCCAGTAAAAAAGGGTCTATAGTTCTCTACACTCACCATACGAAATACAGCAGTGTTAAGCTGCTATTTTACGCTGGTATTCTGTGTGAGCGTGGTCCTTCCCAGGTCGAGCCGACCCATTCGAGCTGCAACCATAATATAACTGCAGCGTAGCTCTACCACGTATACATAAACGCTGGTGCGTGGTCCTTCTCCGAACGAGTCGATCCATTCGTTCTGCAGTCTTGGTACAACTGCAGAGTGGCACTTCCACGTTCCGTATGTGTTATGAAATATATATTTTTTATCTAATAATAACCGTGTGTATTACAACTACTCAGTGGTGTAACATAGTCATAAATTACCATCCTTTTCGCTTAAAAATCGGTAAGTCTTTTATCATTCATTCCTTCATTACAGCCTATTAAAAGTCCACCGCTGAACAAAAGCCCCTCCTATAGATTGCATCATATTATGGAAGGATATTTGCCATAGTTGCCACGCTCGGCGTCCCGCTTCGTTGACATTAGCGCAGTTTTTTATTATTTTGTGTAGTTGTTTGGAAGATGCTACTTCCAAATTCCTGTTCTAGTTCCCTCTGTCGCCTCTTCGACGCCCACGGAACCATATGTGGTAATGGATTCTATTACGCTTACGCAGCCTTCACACCAGTCTTCTATAATCCGATCAAAATTTTTCACTTGTAGTTTGATGTTTTCTAAACATCATTAAAACAATACTTTAATGTATTTTATTATACTACTTATCCCTACCTGTAGTAAGTTTGTGTGTGCATATTATTTATATTTTGAGAATTTTTAATGCTGCCGTGTTCGTTAAATAAAATATATGTAATAAAAAAGTATTTAGCAAAAGCTATTTTTCATATTTTTGGAATTTTTTCCTACTGCTACTTACCTCATTTAAAAAGTTATCATCATCATTTAAAATCTAACATCATTTAAAATCAAACGCTTGGGGCTATGTCCCACTGGCCTGTAATTACTGTTTAAATAAAATTTTTAATGTACTTATGTATTACTTACGTTATAAGTTGCAATTCTTAAATGTTTTCCGGTTAAACTATTGCCCAAATTTAATATCTCACTTTGCTGGTTCGTAAGTCCTGGGTCTGATAAAAACATTTAACTCTTGAAATCTTACAATATAAAGTTATTTTCTCAATATTTTTAAATATTTTACGTTTATTACCTATAATAAATGGGTTGTCGTAAATACTTTCACAAGAGCTTGCGTTACATATTGCAGAGAATATGAGATCTATGCCAGTGGCCATGACTTAATATCTTGGTTTTGACAAGTACCACTGAACATTTGACTTTGCTGGTCAATGAGTAGTCAGCTCGCCAAGCATCGACCGAATACGAGGATGCGCCTTGGACACAACATACATGACACGTCGCCGCCCCACTGTGTTATGATTAATGCATGTTGGATTTGTAAAGACGTTCCTAAAAAATAAAACATTTTGTATAACATTCTTGTATTCTATTCTATAAGTATAATATTTATTATTTTATTACAAAGGTTAAAAACCGAGTGCAGTAAGATTATGAGAGTGGTTATGATAATATTTCCAAACTCATCAGGAATCAACAATTTGGTTCAAAAAGTAAAGGTTAATTTTTGAATTATTAATTAATGTACAGGGTTATTTTGCAAAGAGTAGCCAAATTTTAATCCTTAGTTCAAATATATAAATAAATATATACCGTTATTACAGTTTTTGAAAATACGAGCAAATAAGTCTTCTATATTTATTTGAAATTATCCCAAATAGTATGTGATATATGGGCAACAACGGTTTTGCCTACCGATTGACCCTTACAAATATGTGAGTACGCAGTAAAATATGTTAAAATAATGCATTATCACGCATTTTTAATTTAAAAGATAAAATGGACATATTTGAGATTTTTTAAATCGATTTTTCTTCTCCATTTGCCTACATTACTTATTCTGAACCTTCTTTGCAAATTTGGCCGGTTATTGCAAAATAACCCTGTATAGATAGAAATGTCACACACTGGACAGACTCCTTGATTAAATAATAAGAAATAATGTCCCGCAGACCGATTTTTGGTCATGTCGGTCAGTTTCAACGACGACTAGCGAACAGGTTTATAGCGCACAAGTGTGTGCACACACTAGTACAATAGAGAGTGCTCTATTTCCTCACTATTATAGTCCGATGGAATGGCAATTAGACACTGTCGGATAGAAAATAGGTGCAGCACCAACGACTTTCCGTGCTTTCTGAAGTTCGCGGGTGAAACCCCGTCAACTAGCTGACTGAATACATGGTAATTGATTCCTTTATTTCCTCGAAATACTTACACATTCATTCCTAGGTTGTTTTTCTTTTCCCGGCTGAATATTTGGTAATATAGCAAAATTTAAAAAATATGCAATAATTACTACAAACTTCTCCATACATATGTCGGCGCAATATCAAATATGCCAATATGAGTATCATCTGTACCTATAGGTAAGATTTTAAATATACGTTAAATATTAAAAAGGTATCGTTAAATATAGGCGTATCCATACTAATATAATATCATTAATATTCTTTATTGCTATGACAGCACGGCAACCTAGGTAAATTATTGTCGCAGTCTGTAACAACAGTATGACAGTTATGGTTATGTAAAAGTTACCAATCCCATTACCGTGGCAAATATAAGGCAATCACTATTCAATATTTCAATAACTTCTGTTATAATGCTCAACGTAATTGTACAATATCACAAATTGTAATGGTTTAAAATTATTTTTCGAGATAAAAATAATTCACAATGTTCTCAACGAATAAAATAATTATCATATAAATGTCGATATAAATGTCGATAAAGAAATTTTAGGTAATCCTACCATCTCTTTATAGACATAGTTGCTATAACATAATTACGGGTGTTCGGTTCGTATTTCTGTCAAATTATTATTTGTGCAAAAACATCAGTTCTTGGTTTTGTTGAATGTACCTACGTACCTCCGATTTTAGCCCAGTGTGTTTAACACAATGCTTATGTTAAACATTTGCAGATACGAAGACAGTTGTAATAAAATTATTCGTTCATAAAAATATAATTATTAAGACTCATTTGAGTTTTAGGCATTTGTATAATTTACTACGCTCCTTCGAGATAGTAAAGCTAAAAGAGCTTCGAAACTATTTTAGCATTTTAAGGAAAAAATTGGCCAAGTGCAAGTCGGGTCACCCACAATGTAGGTTTCCTTGATAATGAGCATAATAAGTGAGTTCGCGGTTTGACGTGCCCAAAATAAAAATGTTTTTTAAGATTTTATTCCAGTTTTCAAGGTGTGATTAATATCTATAAATATGCCAAATTACAGATTTGTAGCACCTAGGGTCTCTGAGCCAAACTGCGGATGGACGGACGAACAGACGGACAGACATGGCGAAACTTTAAGGGTTCCTGGTTGTGTTACTACGGAACCCTAAAAAGTGACAATGCAATAAAATGCTAGGTATGCAAATAAATACAAGTGTTAACCCAAGGCTGTTAATAAAATAAATAATAAAAAAATCACCCCGGCCGAGCGGACACAACCGTGCCACAACCATAATATAGCTGCAGTGTGGTTCTACCACGTAAAATATATAAATAATAATTATTATTCCTAATTAAATTTAAACATATATATATATATATATATATATATATATATATATATATATATATATATATATATATATAAATATAACCCTAAAGTTTTCCTTGTTGTATCGAAGGCCTTTGACAGAGTTTGGCACGCTATCCTATTGGGCAAGCTTTCAGCTTACGGCTTATTGACTGGGTGAAGGACTTTCTGAGTGAACAATTTCTCCGAGTCAATAATCAATTGCTGCTTGTCCTGTCCTATCCGGTTAAACGCCGGAGTTCCTCAGGGGTCCGCTCTCTCCTCAACTCTCTTCCTGCTGCATATAAATGATCTGCTCATTCCTGGTATCTATGAGTATGCAGACGACAGCACAATTGTGGAAACAGAAACAGAAACATTTATATTCAATATACTTATTGAAAGTCACTCTTTTGTTTAATTACCACTGGTTCGAAAAAAAAACCTCTGTCCTGTGAAGAACCAGCAAGAAATCCAGCGGGACTTTTTTTTTAAATAAAAGCTTACAATCATGTATGTTACACAATTAACAACACAACAAATTAGAAATAGCTTAGCAGCGATCACCTTATTCCCAGGGGTTATTATCATCCATAAATTCCTTAATATTTTAACAACCCTTTTTATACAAACTTAGTTTAATAAAGTTTTCGAACTTTGAGCAGGTTAAATTTTGTACATTTTCTGGAATTTTGTTGTAAAAGCGTATACATTGCCCTAATAGAATGAATTACTGACTCGGTGGAGTCGAGTAACTGGCAGAATGAATATCACTTATTTTTGTAAAACTACTTTTATTTTTGTGTACGTACATTACATTTTCATAAATGTGTTGAGAGGCCAAAGTTAATATATTAATTTCCTTAAAATTTTGTCGTAGGGACTCTTTCACGGGTTTTAAATCATAAATTGCTCTTATGGCCCTCTTCTGTAAAACAAATATAATTTCAGTGTCAGCTGTGTGTCCCCATAGCAAAATACCATACGACATTATGCTATGGAAATAGCTAAAGTAAACTAGTCTAGCTGTTTCAACACTGGTAAAATTTCTAATCTATTTTACAGCATATGCTGCAGAACTAAGTCTTCTTGCTAGTTTTGATATATGGGGACTCCATTGAAGATTCACGTCTAGTGTGATTCCAAGAAAAATGGTGGTATCGACATGACTCAGTTCCTCCCCATTAAAAATAAAATTAGTATTTAATTGTTTGACATTTGGAGTTATAAATTTCATATATTTCGTTTTAGTGCCATTTAAATGCAAATTATTAACATTGAACCAATTTTGCCGTGTAGTGGCGGTTAAGAATATCCACTACCCCATATCTTCCCGTGGGTGTCGTAAAAGGCGACAAAGGGAAACAGGCAGGAGATGGGCAGCAGCATCTTCCTGGTAACGACAAAATACAATAAAAAACTGCGGTTGCCAACCCGCTCGCCAAGCGTGGCAACTATGGCAATATACCCCCCATAATGAAAGTTACGAAGAGACGGCCCCCAGTCCCCGGCGGCCCCGCTATTCCTGGCTACGGTGGCGACCATGGTAACGGCGGGGCAGGGGGTGCTAAGAATCTCCGGTGGAGGTTCGGTTGCCACCTACAACGACTCGACCTGGCAACATACAACGCACGCACCCTGAGGACTGACGAGAAGATTGTGGAGCTGGAAGAAGAGATAGACAAGTTACGCTGGCATATTATAGGATTATCCGAAGTCCGAAGAGAGGGGGAGGACACGGTAATCCTCGAATCCGGCAACTTGCTCTATCACCGGGAGGGCGACCATCTGTCCCAAGGAGGTGTCGGATTTATCGTCCACAAGTCTCTCGTTAACAACGTTGTAAAGATTGAGAGTGTGTCGACGAGGGTTGCGTACCTTATACTCAGAATCACCAAACGGTATTCGCTGAAGGTCATACAGGTTTACGCACCAACCTCGGCACACCCCGATCAGGAGGTGGAGGAAATGTATGAGGATATCTCTAGAGCCATGCATTCCTCCAAAACCCAATATACGGTGTTAATGGGAGACTTCAATGCAAAACTAGGCACAAGAGAGAACGGTGAGCTGAAAGTGGGGAAATTTGGAATAGGGCAACGGAACCCAAGGGGCCAGCAGTTGGCCGACTTCATGGAGAAAGAGGGACTCTTTATGATGAACTCTTTCTTCCAGAAGCGGCCCCACAGGAAGTGGACCTGGTCGAGCCCCGACGGTTCGACAAAAAATGAGATTGACTTCATTATGACGACCAGACGACAACTGTTCAGTGATGTCTCAGTGATCGCGAGGGTGAAAACCGGCAGCGATCACCGAATGGTTAGAGGCACACTGAACCTAAACGTTAAGTTGGAGAGGTCTCGTCTAATGAAGTCAACGCTCCGTCCCCCTCGTGCTCTAATCCAGAGTCCCGAAACCTTTCAGCTCGAGTTGCAAAACCGTTTTCAGTGCCTAGAAGACTGCAATGAAGTGGACGATTTGAATGACAAGCTCGTGGAAACTGTCCATGCGGTCGGAGCTAAGTTCTGCAAGGCCCGCCGCAGAAGAACACAAAAACTCTCCGATCACACTCTTAATCTCATGGCTGTTAGACGGGAGATGAAGCTACATTCTTCAACAGATTTGACAGCA